GGTATGCACTGCTACACTGGTGTAGTTAGCAGGAAGGCGTGTGTTGTGGGAGATTTCGGTGGATTGTTTTTGGACCTGTTCGTCATGTTTGTGAATACATGTACCTGGTCCGCACACCTTACGCGTGCTGCACGATGCGAGCTCATTGACTTTAAAGTCAGACTAGCTTGATTAGTTCTGCCCATCTTCCGGCTCTGCTGTTATGTAACCATGGTTACCCAATAATGTTTACATCTGTAAATACACCCTGTACAGTATTACTCAAAGATGTAGACAGCTGGCCGACTCTGCCATCGTGGTGGCCTCACAAAAGCCATGTTACCAGCACTGGAGAGTCCTGACTGGTAATGTGAGAAATTTTGTATTAACTGTTTGTTGTTCCTTCGATGCTGTGGACAGCTTGCCGACTCTGACGTTGTGATGACCCTCGAAAGCCATATACACTGTATGTCAACAATGGAGAGTGCCAGTGGTGACTGTCATGCATACCGGTAACTGTTATTCCTGTAACAGCTAACTGTCATAAATGTGCTTGCAATTACATGTACTGTTTGTATACTTGTATGTATATTACGTGAGTGACAGATATCTGCTGTCTTGTTACTCATGTTTTGCAAAAGCTGGTCTGGGATCCGACTGTTTGCATTCGTCACTTCTTCATATGACATGTTATGACAACTCTGGACTGTGTATGCTGTATGACTTTGTTTATTTCGTCACATCCAGAATGTCATCGTGGTGAGTTAGACAATGATGCTGTCACATTGACCCCATTCAACATAAGTGAGTCCTCTGGCTCTCCATTTTTGACTGTTACTTACAGTCAACAAGTTTGCGAACCAATGCAAATCTTGTTGCTCATTTTTTTCAATTGCTGTTAAATTTTCCTTGCTCGATTGCGAGTGGTGGCAAGGATTTCGACCCCGTGCACAGCAGCATGTGCCGTGAAGAGTTCCTGTACATTATGCAACCTTGCTGTTTTGTCGCGTCGGAATTAACTGAAGCTGTGACTGTTGATTTCTGTACATGTATCTGTGTCTTACCAAGTTCCTGTGTTATTCAACTTACATGTTTGTTCCTCTTCCTGATTTGTTATCGACGTGCCTGTGTTTACTACCCATTTGTGTTTTGTCCCTGATGATGTCCTGAGTCTCTTTGCTACATGTACATGCAAGGAGTATTCAACAAAGTTCCAGCCCTTGAACATTTTGACAACCCACCTGACCCATCTTGCCAACCCAATCAGATATTCCTTAGTTAATCAAGAAGGATTCATCTGGAAATTTGATGCGCAAACTTGATCTTTTTCTGATTGAACATTTAATTATGAAACTACAGCAGACATTAATTTTAAAATTATGTGCTAAGGTTTATCCAAGAATGCGTTACCGTACATATGTGCCTCTCTGTTTGGATTAAAATGATCACTAGAAAGCTTTTGCCATTCGTCAACTTGAAAACACAAGTTTAAAAGATAGTGGAACGCAACTTTTAGTTGATCTGTAGTGATTGATGATAGCCAAGCTTTATTTCATATGGTTTAACCTTCATTTATAAAACACCCCTTTCCTATGGAAGTTGAGTCTAGGGGGAGGGAGTGTAACAGTGTACCAGTCTGATTATGTACAAGTGCATTATGGGAAGGCAAGTCTCATGGCATGTCAAGATGGCACCTGTGAGTTGATTACACACTGGAATACATGTAAATGTGATTGTTGTTAATTGTAATTAATGTGAGCCTTTGCTGATATACCAGGTATCTGTCATTCCCCACGTCGCATCTGAACCTGTAGTGACGGTACATGCACCATTGCAATGTATGGTAAACGACTTGGTATTTTCCCTCCTAAATGGAACTTCTTTGGACATGGTTTTGCTTTCTGATGGCTAATAATAGGTCACAATGGGGAATAATTACTGATGTCCATGGAACTCTTTTCTGTGACCCCACCTGCAGACATGGCAGAAGTACATGTACATGTATGCTGTATGTTACGTGCGTGACGCGTATAGTTGCCAGCTCCCTAATTTCACCATCTACATGTACTTGTACGTGTATTGTCAAGTCAGATTGGTTTTCACAGTAAAAGTGGCGAAATAAGGGACCTTGCGACTGTACGGTCACGCATGTTACATGTATCAATTTAGCCCCTGACTGGGGCCAGTCTACTCAATGAGCAAGGACTACTCTACTACCTCCAGTATCTTTGGGCAGGTATCACAGGTATTGTCAGTAGTCTGGCCCCAGTGTGGGGATAATGAACCAAGAACAAATCTTCGTCTGATTTCATGCTAACGACACATGTAATGTACATGTAAACATAGCCTTGGTATGCTGAAACTGCAAATCCACTTCAAGTTTGTGTACATGTATGGGCTGTAGACTTTGTGTCTGTTTTGATGGGACATGCATGTACAGGTACATGTAGTAAAACATTTGTTTAATTACCGGTATGCTTTTAAATAAAACTTTTGCAGGTGCTTTGGGCTGAGTAGGGCTGGAGCACAGTGAGTCATTTTAATTCCTGATATTTTCAGATATTGCTGATACTTCTAAAAGAGAGATTTTAGTGTTATTGGTCAAATGATTGTACCATAAGTTACAGCCTTAAAGGTTGTTGAACTTTGACCCTTTTATTTCTTCCAAAGAGTAGTTGATTTGATACTTTTTGTACTCTGTTGCAGCTCCACCATTCTTGCCATTAGCCATTGAACAGTGCACTCATGTACTGTCAGATTCCCAAAACTATGTGGCATTCATCTGAAATGAGTGAATGAGAGCAGAGCTCTCCATGCACGATGTAGCTGTACATGAAATGATCAAGGATACTGGATGATGACGTGCATAAGATTGAAGCATTGCATGGTGGAGATGGACATGCACATGGCTTTGGTCTCTCGCAAGCTACTCCTCATTCTGCCCTTGATGTCACATAGAAATATATCTAATAAAAGTTTTCTTTTTCAGAAATTTGTTTTGGAGATGTTTCGTGTACTGTACCAGTATTTTGAGTCATTTACTGGAAAGGTCTAGTGAACAAACATAATGTCTTCGTTTTGAAGAGACTATGGTAAAGTGGGGGGATGTCAACATGACTACAGCCGGACCGACCAGAGCAGCGACATCTGGCTTGAGTACTGGTGAAATTACAGGGATTGTTATTGCAGTTACAGCAGTGCTGACTGTTTGTCTGACAGTTTGTAAGTATTTTTCCTGCACATACATGTACATAGATTTAGGATTTAATGATCAGAACATATGCCAACAACTTTATTTTACTCACGTTTCTTGTTAGTTTTTAATTAGAGTATCAATTTGAGTACTTTAACCAGTGCTGGCTGTTTGTCTGACAGTTTGTAAGTATTTTTCCTGCACATACATGTACATAGATTTAGGATTTAATGATCAGTACATATGCCAACAACTTTATTTTACTCACGTTTCTTGTTAGTTTTTAATTAGAGTATCAATTTGAGTACTTTAACCACTTCCTGCTGGGGACTACGGGATCGGATTCGTATGGTTTATATTGGTGGCCAGGGTCTCCGAACTCAGACAAAGGAAACAGGGCCCTGTAACAAAAGACCATACTCCGAACAAGACCAGGCGGCTGGGCATCTCAAAAGTGGTGATAATCCAGCCTTGTTTTGAAACCGTATACCAGGGTTTGGGGCATTGAGAGCGAGCGGATTACCAGCAGGGACACAAGCGCTCCACCACTGCAGCGATGAGCCACACAGCACCGCTGCATGCTAATCTGGCCTGTTGGACTATTTTTAACAATACAAATTACAGCTGTCATTTTGTGTCACTTTTTTATATTTTTGCTTGAGCTACAGTGTCTCAGTAACACCATCATGCCACAAAAATTGGTTGCTACTTTACCGGGGAATTAATAAAAAATGATAAGCCAGCACAGAGTTCACGTGAAACACTTGTTTTTGCTTTACTGCGTCGTAGTTACTTGGGTTTATTTTATATTCTGTGAATTGCACTCTCGAGAAGTAATGTTGCATTTTGTTTGTGTTGTTACAGTGACGTTGTACCTCCAAAACCGTAGAAAGACACAGGGTAAGTTCAACTAATAGCTAACAACTAGCAACAAGTGTTTCTGGGCAAGAAATTTCAAGAGAGGAGTTCCCCAACAGATTTTTAGAAAAGTCTTCCCTGAGAGGGTTCCTTCAGTCAAAAAATGATCTGGGAAAAAAAACAAAAAAACAGGACCATCAGGAAAGCTTAAATCAGAGCAAGGGCCGAGCATGTGACCACATCTGTAAACTCTTCACCATAAAACCTGTCCACTTGGCTTTTAGGTGAGTCATCCTTTAAAACTGAAGTTTCCACTCTGCCCCTTTTCAGTCCACTGGATTTTCACTGAAGGAAAAGCTTAGCAACTGCACAAAATAAGTCAGTTCGCTTCCAAATATAACCATCCAAAAGGACAGGGAGAGCTAACGATCATTTGTTAATTTCAGAAATTTTTCTAAGGCAGTGTTTGCAATGTACATGTACACACCAGGTGGTTCTAATACAATGGATGTCAGTAAGATATCCTTGATCAGAAAAATCCATCCAAGGTGTGTCATTGATAAGCTTTATTTCCAGGAATCATGGTAAAATCTGTAACAGTGATCATTCTTTTCATACACCCACAAACTCAGTAATACAAATAATTTTGTCACTTTCATCTCTGATTTTACAGGTTCCCCTGACTCATCTATTCCAAGCACTAAAGGTGACATTTTGCTAAATTTTCTTTTTCGTATTTTACATTCAGAAAGCACTTTTCAGCAACTTTGTTTCTAAGCAAGACCTTAAGCATAATTGTTAAATGTCCTTACTCGTATATAAAAGGTTGGTGCATAATCAGAGAGTTGTATGTATATGTACAATATGTAATATAGGTCTAAATATAACTGAATAAGGCTATTGCTTTAACAGCATATGAAAATCATGTTCAACCTCTTTCTCTTCTGGTGCATTTTAGCATTCATGGAATTTGTCATTTGTTTCGTATTTTTCACAAATTTAAAATTTCACATACGTGTAATATCGATAAATTTGGTCTGACTGCTACTGCTTCTTTATTTTATTTTCAGTCAAGATTTCCAAATGGACCTTAAATGTGTGTGGTGCTATTACATGCAGTTGTAAGTATTGATCATTTTTTATCAATAACTGATGCAACAGCAGCAGATTGATCGCTGCTCAAGTAGTTGTGGCTCAGGGTTGTAGAAACGGTCATAGTTTGTTTAATTCAGTGCAAGTAAAGACATTAGATACACATGTTATATTATGAGGTGTTGAACTACAATCTGTGTTCTGTGGGGGTAGGAAGGGGTTAACCAGTGCTGTGGGGGTAGGAAGGGGTACCCGGTGCTGTGGGGGTAGGAAGGGGTGGGTATACAGTGCTGTGGAGGTAGGAAGGGGTAAGCGGTGCTGTGGGGGTA